GGTGTTCTTGCATTTTTTATCTAGTTTACATGTCAAATAAATAAGAAAACTTCTCCCTTTTCTTTGAACTATTGATGAGAATTATTCATAATCCAAGTATGTATTTTTCCAGTTTTTCCTCGCCCATGTAACCACGGTCCTTTTAGTTTAGTTTTCCTCTGATCTTTTGATTTGTACACACCGTCATCGCCTCTTTTCATCTCTTCTCAAACACCACCACTCTCCAGTTGATGGGAGTTGTGCAGGAGATGCTGTAGTGCGGCAGAGCTTGAGCTGAAGGACTCCCAAAGGCAGGATGGGAGCCCACTAGAGATGTGATGAACACCTTTGAAGAAGTATAGCTTTTTTTTTTTTCAGTCATATATTCTTTCTTCTCAACCACGCTGACATCGTCTGTTGGTTTGACGACACTGAACCTCTCCCTTTATGCTCCAAGCTCTCATGTCCTTATTTTAGCTTTCATGTCTTGCGTTCTCTGAATCATCCTGCGGAGCAAAGAAACTATAACATTTGACCTGGGGAGCTGTAAGGACAGTTCAAATAACCATAAATGTCACATGGCTTATGTTGGAGGTTAATTAAGTTTTTATCATTTATTTGTTTTTGATATATCCTTCTAGAAATACAATCCTTTAACCCCACATACAGCTTTTTTAATGGTTTTATAAGTCACTGCCTTTATGTAATTGGTAGATGCAGTAACTTTTTGACTCCTCTTCATTTTCTCTATTCTCCTTTTTGAGACCCAATGCACGGGTCTCAGCATGTGCAAACAGCTAGCTACTGTATTACACTCTCTTTGCTCATATCTTCACCTTTAAAGGTTTCACATGGATTGAAATGGCAGTAATCACTCATCATTTTTGAAATGCTGCAATCGTTTGTTATAAAACACATTCAGCGTAGCAGCAACTTTGAATAGTTGGATGTTGATGATTTGTTTATTAATTAGATCATTCTTTGGTCTTTACTCCATCTGTACACCCTTCTGTCTCCTTTCTTCCCACGATTATCCAACTCACATTCTGGACGGATCCAGTCACTGTAGCGTTTTTACATAATGGAGTCACGAAGCTGAGGGCATGTGGATTTTACCTGCCATTGTGGGCTCCTCACATACTTGCTCATCCTTTGTCTCAAAGATGAGGGTGTTGGTGCAGATCATGTAGGATGATCCATATTAAGCCTTCTTCAGTCTTTTCACAACATGACACAGTGTGCTGTACTGAAGTCACCAGCAGGTTTCTGATCTCCAACTCTGTTTAGGGATCATATCACTTTAATAACCCTTAGTTTAGAACACAGTGGAAATGCTGCATTGATCCTGTAATTAAATACTTCATGCATCGTTACTTTGTGACGTCAAGAGCTACCTATTCCCTCAAGGTAGTATAGATATGTCTGTCTATTTCTGTCCAGACAGAGCTTTGCAAGCCTGTTTACATCTAGTGTATTTTATTTATAAAAATGTATATATAAATTTCAGTGTCACATGATCTAAAATACCTTCGTAATCAAGAGTCTCCTGCATTAATCATGACAAAGTGGAGGTAATAATAACCTGGCCACCTTCACTTAAAAGTATACATAACATAAAGTATAAATAACACCACCCACCGTGGAGCTGACTTGTTGTGTCACTTTAAATTGTAGCGATCCTGAATAGATATAGAGTTCAAACTCCCCTTTCCCCTTTTTAAAATGTTAACTTTAACCTCTTTTCTGAAATGTTTACCTACCGTATGCAGTAATGCTATTTGCTAGTGTTTGAATCGATCTTAGAAGAACAGGTGAAAGTAACAGCTTTTAAATGCAATCTAGATGTCTAAAGCAACACCTGGCTCATGTTTGTTGCATTTATACAGTAGATATACTGACGAGTTACATTGATAAAAAACTTCAGCTCTGTGGCTAAAAATGTTACAGTTTGTCTTTCTTTAATTAAGGGCATTTTCCCCCTCTTAGTAAAATGAAAAACACAGGAGCTCTTTTAGTTATGGTACACAGGTTTTTAGCGGGCTTCCTCAATGTCAGACATTGGGGTCCAATTTCCTTGCCTGGCAGTAGCCAGATCGATATGTAGGGAACTGCGTTGAGTTCTACGTTATCAATCTGGGATGGCTGCCAGATGGCTTCAGTCTATCCATGAAAAGGAGGGACATTTAGTAAAATACTTTGAGCTGATTCGGTGACGTGCCAGCTAGTACCCAGCTCCTTCCATAATATGCTTTCAGCCAATCGTAGCAGCGAATCGTGACATTTCAGTGGAGTAAGCTGATAAATTAAAATTTTTCCAAATCCTGTCAGAAAAGCAGCACAGACATCTTTCCCATCTACAAATGCACAAAGTTCTTCTCTTTGCTCCTTATTTTAAATTAGAAATTGTCATTATTTTGGCTAAAAGCAAGTCAATTCCGGCATTGACAGTCGAGTCATCCAGATACATGTATTATCCTTCCAGCATGTCTTGGGACTGGAATTGCATTACTCACTTATCAGCACAAGTAATTGAAATGGCCAATATCAAACTTAACATTGCATCTTCATAACTGGGTTTGTTATTTATCGACTTTAACTTTACCAGATAGCAACTACATGCCGATCATACAAAAGACTGCAGCTGTATAGAAATAAAACCTAACTTCTAGAAGCTAAATGATAGATGATGATAAAGTCGGTGCCTTTACGTTTCCCGCTGAATATATAAAAAAGAACGTCTCAAGTTTTTTAAAGGGAGAAGTTAATGTGAGCAGTTTCTGTGTTGTACTCTTTCTTTTATTTGGAACCTGAAACATACCCGAAGGTATTAGACAAGAGCATTAGTGGACACGAAAGTGGGATGATAAAGCAAGGGATGGACAAAACTTCCCCAAGGTTTGATTGATGGCCTAAGCCTCAACATTTCAGAGGGTATTCTTACCCATTTAGTGATTCATCTATCTTTTTCTTCATCCATCCACCACTTAGCTGACTTTCCCTCTTCCCAAATGTATTTCAGAGAATCACCCAAGGATATGAACTGCTGAGTGTTCATCCTGACTACTGCCTTTTCAAACACCTTTGGCAGGCAGTCAAAGCGCTCAGGAGTTGGCTGGTTAGACGGAGGACCTGTAGTGCCAAGAGCCTCACAGCTGCTATTATTTGTTGCTTAGAGTTGGAAATAGAGGGCTTGGGTCGGGAAAGGTTCACCCTCTACTAATTTACAAAACATGGGTGGACGATGCTTAATGAATGAAGTCAAGATATGTTGTTGGAAAAGGGGACATAAACATAGGTTTTACTCTAACATGGAATCTAATGGTGATAGTAAAGGTCTAGAAATGACAGCTGGTGGTGACCGTCTAGGTGCAAATTAAGATTTTATACAAAAACTATTGTACTTAGGTTATGTTTCTTAGAGTCAGTTTAGTGGAGGACAGAATTTATCCTCAGTTCATCAGATATAAGGGGGTAAAAATGAAAGAATACTTAAATAATGGTAATTAAATAAAAAAATAAAGTATATATATATAAATATATATATATATATATAAATATATATAATGTTCTTGTCCTGACAAATGCATGCCAGAATTTTTCTCAAGCAGAGGTTCTCATCTTCATGGTGCCTTTTCAAAATGAGATATCGAACATTTTGTTACATTGTTGGTGATTTTTTTTTTTTTACTGGAATCTTAGTTTCTTTCTTTAGAACATCTACAAAAGTCGGCCATTTATGGGAATATTGCTCTAGTGATTAGAGCAGTCCGCTTGTCCTCTGAGAAGGATCCAAGTACCTGGTCCGATCCCCACAGCCTGCGCTCTGAGTTTCCTTAACCCCACACTACTCCCCGGGCTTTGCACAGTGGCAGCCCACTGCTTCCCAAGGGGATGGGTTAAATGCAGAGGTGAATTTCTCCAGTGTGAGATCAACAAAGTAAAATTATTATTATTTTGTTGAGATGAGAAAATTATTTTTCTCAAGGCAGTCAGTGGGGGGGGACTGGCTGGTGAGCTTTGAATCGATGTTCATCTGCTCAACCTAAGAGTGCTTGAGCTCAAGGTCTACTAAAGGGCAGAAGGAACGGTTCCATCTCACAGTAAGCTGTCCAGGTCCTTTGTAGCAAGGCTGCCTCAGGCCATAACGCCACCATCGCTATGTTTCATATGTTTGGTGTTTTTTTCCTGGAATTCTGCATTTCTACTTTTACTAGATAAAGTGGGATTTGTAACTTTTTTTTTTTTAACCTTATAACGTCCAATCATGTTGATTTTGCATACTCCTTTTATTTCCCTTTGGCATGAACTCTGACCTTCACTGTAGCCAATGAGGCCTTTAATGAGAAAGGGTTCTTCTGTGAGCTCCTGGATCAATTGTTAAAGTACATATAGAGCCATTTTTCTAGGCCAGCCACTCCTGGGAAGGATCATTACTGTTCTACGTTCCTTGTTTTATAGATGGTGGCTGTCCCTGTTGCTTGCAGAGGAACCATAACCTGTTCCAGTCTGATAGATGTCAGTGACTTCAGGGCAGAATGGTTTCCTTTCTGAGATCTTTTGGCCTACTTCTTTTTGTCCTGAGATTTGATTCCACAGGTCTTGCATTGGTCAAGCCTGGTTGTGGATACTGAAGTGAACTAAAAACAAAAGTTTTAATCACAGTTAATTCAAGATTTAACAATGCAAGTAGATATATTTGTTTTCCTGAATAGATAAATCACAATGTAAAAAATGTTTTTCAAAGTTATCTTTCTGTAATGTAAGAAAGTAAGTAACAAAAACAGAAGAAATCAAGATAAAGAAAATCAAGAGATGAAAACTGAAATTTTCTGATCTCACAGTTCGTTGTTTTTTTTATCTGATCCCGCTGCAGGACACACAGCATTTATCTTTCATGAATAATATTTCTGCTTCTCAGCAGGTTAACGCCACCTCTGTAAATATTTTACAGCTGATTCGCCTTGTCATCTCACATCAGAATACTGATTTATTTTCATGCAGCTCTTTTTGTAAAGACAGCTAATAAACATCGCTGCATTATAACTGCCCCCTGAAACATCTCGGCTTGTTGATCTCAAACATGATCAAAGACTGAGGCTGGATTTACTTTGTGTTCGTTCCTGGTGTCGGTCTGATCCGAGCCCACAGTGGATCTGAGGCACAAAAACACATGAATATTCAGTTGTTAATCTTTCTGTGTAAGAGACTTGGTGCTTTGGAATGTTAAGTTCTTCACATGGTGTTGTAATAGTGCAGAACAGTTGCCACTTGGTTCTATGAGTAAACTCTGACACTGTGAGAGCGGCTGACACAATGCCATCTGTGTTGTGTTGCACTGCAGGATCCCTGGCAGGCTTAATGACAGACGCACACCCCTTGGAGAGCTCAACTGGATCTTCACCGCCATCACAGACACCATCGCGTGGAACGTGCTGCCCAGAGGTGAGTCTCTATATTAACATTAATGTATGGTTTGGCATGTCATCACAACATCCTTCTCATAATAAAAGAACTATCTAGGTATATCCTCTTAAACACATTCACACTAAAATGATCTTTGGTACATGCTTAGGTAATGTTTTTATAAGAGTGTGGCAAAATAAAAATAGGAATTTTGAAATCCCCATTCTATTTAGATGATACATTCTCTGCCAGTAATGCTCTAAAAGGAATTGGACCTGATTTATCAGATGATTTGTGGCTGGTTTATAATTTTTGCATATTTTTCTTCAAATGCTAAAAATATATATATATATATATATATATATATATATA